CGGTAGTGCTGTTTTACGGTGCTATTATGGGAACAGAATAAGGATGAATTATCGGAGTTCGCGCATCGTGTTTGTGCGTGCTGCATTGCACGAATCTGGTAGGGAAACCGAACTAGCAATAGTTGGGTTAGGAACAAATGTTTACCTAATCATGATGATGATCCTCTAATGCGTTTCGATCTCTATAGATTACACTGGTTGGAGCATGTGTTACGCATGTCTCCAACTAGATTGCAATGACTCGCGTTGTTTGTCGAGGTAGGCAGTAGGTGTAAAAATGACCAAGGGTGGTCAAACTGAGATCTGACACATAGGTATGAAAACCCCAAGCAAGAGACTACCTGGATGGGGACCTTGGGATCATTGTAATCAATGGTTGGAGACGTTGAGTGTCGTAAACAATGACGGTTGCGCATCTATTCATTATCCTTCCAACCCCAGTCTCCCCGAATTTCCTACAGAAATTATCAGCCAAAAGACAGCAACCAAAACGACCACGCAACAGTGCCAGGCTAATGGTTGTATAAAGTGGAACGGGAAACTATCATTTAGTTATTCTAGGGTTTTTTGGTTGCTGTTACAGCAAACGCAGTCTTTGTCTGTATTGGTTTGCAGTTATGTTTTCGTACTAATGCAGACGTTAGAAAAACTACGCAATATAGACAACCAATGGCAGTAACCTGACGTGAAGTTGTGCCCAGAAGTGCAAATGCCCTGATGGTTTGGAAGAGACCACCTAAACGAGCAGCACGTAAGATACTTGTATTTGATTGGATCCACTGATAAGAGGTCCCCAAACATCTGTTTTAATTCAGTCTGATCACTAGAATTAAGGACTGACTTTCCTTGGTTCTGAGTAGTATAGCCTAAACGTTCAGATCTGATCGCATCATCTGCCAAAGCAAATAGTTTTGTCAGTGCATACATGGAGATGATTCACTTATCCCCGTTGCTTGTTGTTGGCTTTAACAAAGTTCTTGAACTGAGAGGCACTTTATCCAACCATTGCTACCTGAGTTGTAATTTAAGAACGGTTTTGAGGGTGCAACGCTCAAAGCAGCTTTGGCACCAATTTATTCGTACACATCTGTATCAATGGGCGTACTAACAACAAATAGTGGAGTGGGCTAACGCGATGAGTTCATTGAAATGAAATCCGAACTGGGCGGTTCGGAGGCTAACAAATCTATTTTTACACTTCGACGGAATTAAATCGGCTTCTCAATAACAGGTATCAAAGTTTAAATATGATTAAATAATAATAAATATTAAATTGGAGCTATTTTTTATCACATTGACTTTTTTCATAATAACCTCATGGTTATTTGTGAGCATTAATATATCGTCTAACATTTCCCGGTTCTTTCGGCTTAGAATCGATTTATTACTCTTTAAGTTGGACCCTCACGCATTCATCCCATCGATGGGAATATTGCCATACACCATTCGCCTGATTTTTGCACACCGGAATGTGACTACTTGTGAGTAGACGCATTGAATGTTGGTTATCTTATGATCCTAGTTCTATTGTTTCCTTCACCTTGTACGATAGACATTGGAATGCCAAGAAGGGTTTGAAGTATGTGCAGCCTCTCCGGAAGTTGAAGTTGTCGAAGGTAGACCCGCTTGGCTTGAAGCGGCTGGCAACCTGCTACCTGTAGCGAAATCCGGTGAACAACTTCGACTTCACTTTAATGCATTCCGGGAAAATCGTCTGGCATTCCCCGTACGATTGCGAGACATGCAACAAGAACCAAGCGGCAAATTGGCTTTCATGCGTGAGCCACGTCAAACGGGTGTGGTAAGTTCACCAACCTTTGCTGATGCTTGCTTCGTCCCTTTGTTTACCTTAGTATGTATGTATATGAATGACTAGACAAACTTACCCTGGAAGCACACGACTGGTTTCGCGGTTCTTGCCGCTCGTCCGGTATGCGTATCGAATAATTTTTTGCTGCCTCATTCATATATTTGTACCCAAGAAATGTATTTTCTTCACAATAACCGTGTTTGCAACAGCGAGTGACTTTGGGATAGACAGCTCTTTCAGAGTCAGCCCATTGAATAATCAATGCTATGATTCCGTGTTTTGTAGGTGTGTCAGATATATGCGTTTAAATCCTTCTTAGAGAACCTGATGGTAAATCACCACTTTCCATCATTGAGCAAAGTTGAAAGTGCACGTACGTAGATGAAATTGTCAATAAATAGTGTTGTCATATCTCAGTATGAAACACAAAATCAATAACTCCTAGTGAACTAAGCGCTTGTTTGAGTGTCCGTTGTGAAAATATTCTCCAATGATGCCTGTTCAAGGATTTCAATAAGTTACTGTGTGCAGCGTTTGCAAGGACCCAAATACTGATAAGTGGCTCTCGTAGAGCAGTCAGTTGGATATACTTGCACACAGCTGGAGTACCCGACCTCATCCTTGAAACATAAAAGAATAGCAAATACGCAGTTCGAGTTTCGATCGATACGTGTAATTAGATTAGCATATTTATCGTTGACGGCGTTTAGGACCATTTACAGAGTTAATTGGATGCCCCCATGTAGAATTCTGAACTGCCCAGGATTATGCAATATCAGACATTGGAGTTATCCGGTTATTATTTGCGCTGCCAGATATTTGTGATCAACTTGCTCGCTTCACCTATGCATCTTTTCCTCGAGGTATGTGGACCGACCTTGTGAAAGCTGTTGTAGTTAGACAGTAAGTTTGTTGCTTGTAGCGCCTACTGTTAATGGTAATTAAATACGCCGTCATGGAAATCCAGAATGCAGCCACATCCGTCGTACGACCTTTAGCTCTGAAATCTTCACTGTTAAGTTAAATGTATTGGCGAACAATGGCTTATGTGTTGTACAGCAAGAAAGCTATTTCAATGAGAATTCCAAGCTCAGAATTCATATACTGTCTCTTTTGGAATGCCCTACGTGCTTTGTGCCACAAAAAGTGTTATTTATAGAGCTGCGTTTGTTAATCATCAGTATTTTGCATCTTTAACAAATATATTTAAAGCTATTGTGAATTTTGTCATATTTTTGTTTACCATTTGCTAAGTGGCGAACCTCTCCCTATCGTTTGCCAACGGTTTAGTATGCCTGTGGTATTCCCGAGGGAAATTAAACTTACTTCATGCTATTTTTTCACTCAGAAGTGGATTTCACTGTTTCCCGAAACCGTTCTCTCTCCTAATGCTTCCCCATCTTCCTGCCATCCACTTTCACACCAACGTGCACGTTGCTAGTCGGACGCATCCAGTAACGGCCCACAGAGACCAATCTGCACATTGGAGGTTCATCTAGGTCCGGAACAGGGTGGAATCCGGGCGGCCAATTCTACCATGGTCGATCCGGGTTTGGCCTCGCTGACCGAGCAGTACAACAAGTCCGCGGCCGCATCTATGCACTCCATCCCCTGTGTGTTCCCTACTCCCGGACGAAAATTGGGTCCAGGCGATGCGGATTATCAAGATACTTATGAAAACGAATTGAATGTGCTCGGCCCCGAAGGTCGTTGGGCGTCAGGTATGTGTTTTACTTTTTTCGTGGGT